TTCCCTGGGAATCTCTGAGGTCTTCGAAGTCCTGTTCTATCTTTTATTTGTAAGTCATTTATTCAATGATTCTGTGCCAAGGAGGATTGAGTAATAATCAAAAAAAGACTACTGAAGCCTTTCAGAGAGTAAGTGCTCAGTAAATATATTTGATATATTACTGAATCATTATTTTAAATGATATAAAGCAAAATCTCATAATATCAGCATTTTACATAAATAATATTTTGATCCTAGGAAACTGTACAGTAGGTTGTGTTACTCATATTTTTATATCCCTAGAGGAATAAAATTTATTTTCTTTATGTTTTAGTTTGAATATGCATTCTTTCAGACAACTTACCCTATAGATATAGTTTCATTTTGTTAGAACTTTACATTTAATTAAATTCATGACAGGCTAATTAAGGAAATTCTTTAAATTTTGTTTTGATAGTGAAAGCAAGTTGAATACATTGGTGCAGAAACTTCATGATTTTCTGGCACATTCATCTGAAGAATCTGAAGAAACAAGTTCTCCTCCAAGACCTATGATGAGCCAAAGCACAGGTAAATTGAAAAAGAATGTGCAGTATCTTCTAGACTACATTCCATTTATTGTTTTATGGTGGGGTAGCTATTAAAGGATTTGATAGCCTCTCTGTATCTAGTATTTAGCTAATATATTGGAGATGTTAACTTAGATATGTGAAAATATAAGTTTTTATAGTTATAGATTCTTAGAGAACGATGTACTTTTGGTTTTATGTGTAATGGAAATATCTTATACAGGGGTTGATGAATCTTGACTGTGAAAAATAGGTAGTATTAGAAGAGGTAGGAACAGTACAGAAATATATAATTCTTGCAGTTATTCATGTATTATTATGAGTTAAAATTTTAAAACTACTAAGTTAAATTTAATGTAAATTAATTCTACCTCTGAGTATATTTTGTATATATTTTTTTGTTTGTGTGTATTCACCTGATTAGTCAGTGCATATGTTTTTCGTTTTGGATAATCCTCACCCAAGGATATTTTCCCTATTGATTTTTAGAGGGAGTGAAGGGGGAGAGAGAGAAAAACATCACACATGGACTGGTTGTCACCCACATGCCCCTGACCCAGGGGCCAGGGATCGAGCCTGCAACCAAGGTTTGTGTCTTTGACCGGGAAACAAACCTGAGACCTTTTAGTCCATGGGCTGGTGCTCTAACCACTGAGAAACTGGCCAGGGCAGTGCATGCGTTTTTTTAAATTAAAAAACACTTTAACACCACCTCTCTAGACCCCTTCAGTTTTTTTTTTTCTTATGGAGAACATCTGATCTTTTTTTTCCCAATTTTTTTTGTTAATCCTCATCTGAGGATATTTTTACCATTGATTTTTTTTTTACAGAGAATGGCAGAGAGGGAAGTAGTGGGGAGGAGAGAAAGAGAATTATCAAAGTGCGAGAGACACATTGACTGATTGCCTTCCACATGTGCTCTGACCAGAGCTGGGGCTTGAACCTCCAACCCAGGTACATGCCCTTGACCCATGAATTGAACCTGCAACCCTTTGTTGCATGGGCTGATGTTCTAACCACTGAGTAACACTGGCCAGGGTGAATATCTAATCTTTTAAAAAAATGTTGTTGTTATTTTAGAGAGAGAGGAAGGGAGGGAGAGAAAGAGAGAGAGAGATGGGAACATCGATGAGTGAGAAAGATCATTGATTGGCTCCTTCCTGCACACCCTGTACTGGGGATCAATGAGCCAAAGGCATGTGCCCTGACTGGAAATCAAACCAGCGACCTTTTGGTTCCTGGGTCGATGCTCAACCATTGGGAAACAGTGGCCAGGCCTGATCTTTTTTAAAAAAAAATATTTTTTAAAATTTATTAGGGTGACATTGGTTAATGATATTATATAGGTATCAAATGTACAGTTCTATGATACATCATTTGTATATTACATTGTGTGCCCACCACCCAAAGTCACCATATATTTGACTTCATTTACCCTTTACTACCTACCCCCTTACCTCCCATTCTGTCTGATAACCACCAGACTGTTGTCTGTGTCTATGAAATTTTGTTTGTTTGTCTTGTTTGTTCATTTGTTGCTTTGAGTTTTATATCCCACATATGAGTGAAATCTTATTGATCTTGCCTTTTTCTGTTTGACTTACTTTGCTTAGCATGATATTCTTATTTTGCTTAGCATGGTATCCATTCATGTTGTCACAGATGACAGTATTTCATCTTTCCTTATGGCTGAGTAGTATTCCATTGTCTATATGTACTACATCATCTTTATCCAATCATCTGTGGAGGGACACTTTTGTTGTTTCCATGTCTTGGCCACCATGCATAAGGCTGCAATAAATATATGGCATACATCTATATCTTTGCCAATAAATGTTCTGAAGTTTTTCTGGTAGATACCCAGATAAGGGTTTGCTTGGTCATATGGTAACTTTTAATTTCTCGAGAAATTGCCGTACTCTTTTCCATAATGGCTGTACCAGTTTATATTCCCACCTGTGGTGAAAGAGGGTTTCTTTTTCTCCACAACTTCTCCAAAAGGAGTTACTACTTGTTGTGTTGATAGTAACCATTCTAACAGGTGTGAAGTGGTATTTCATTGTAATTTTGATTGGCATTTCCCTAATAGCTAGTGAAATTGAACAAAGTCTCTTCAGTAAATGGTGCTGGGAAAATTGGAAAGCCACATGGAAAAGAATGAATGAACTAGACTACTGATTGTCCCCATACACAAAAATTAACTCAAAAAGGATAAAAAAAATCTAAATATAAGGCCTGAAACAATAAATTACATAGAAGAAAACATAGGTACTAAGCTTATGGACCTTGATCTTAGATAGGGTTTTGTGAATTTGACCCCAAAGACAAGGAAAGTAAAAAGCAAGAATGGGACTATATCAAACTAAAAAGCTTCTGCACATCAACAAAACAAAGAGGCAACCAACCAAATGGGAAATGACATTTGCAAACAAGAGCTCTGACAAGGGGTTAATACCCAAAATATATAAAGAACTCATACAACTTAAGAGCAAAAAAAGTCAAACAATGACCTGTACCTTTCTCCTAAGAAGGCATACAAATGGCAGACAGATATATGAATAGATGCTTAAATTCCTTTTGCAAAGTATCCTGTATCTTGTGATTACCATCACTTGTTCTGAGGATTTCAAGGATAGCTACATTTTGAGAGCTGAATGTAAACACATACACGCGTGTGTGTGCACACACAAATATGATATGTACAAAAGGTAAAAGGTAGATCACAGTGAAAAGTAAAATAATATGTATAATTAGAGTTTCCAAAAGAGAGGAGATAGAATGTGTCAGAAACTGAATGTGAAGAGATAATTGCCTGAGCATTTTCTAAAAGTAATGAAAAACATCAAGCCGTAGATTCATGAAACTGTGAATCCCAAGCAGAATAGATATAAAGAAAGCTACAGCTATGCATGTCATAATTGAACTCCTAAAGAACAAAAACCAAGAGAAAAATCTTATAAGCAGTCAGAGGAAAAAAGTCATTGATTTAAAAAAAAACCCAGCAATTACATTGATAGTTCATTTGGCAAGAGGAACATCAGAAAACTAGATGATAAGGAAATGACTTCTTTCAAGTGCCACATGAAAATAATTGCCAGCATAGAACTTTATTTTTAGTGAAAATGTTTTTCAAATGTGAAGGTCGGCCCTGGTGTCTCAGTTGCTTGGAGCATTGTTCTGTACATGAAAGGTCGCAGGTTTGATTCCTGGTCAGGGCACATATTCAGGTTTCAGGTTCGATCCCTGGTATGCAAGGGAGGCAACTTATCAATGTTTCCCTCACATCTCTCCCTCTCTTTTCTTCTCTCTAAAATCAATAAAAACATATCCTCAGGTGAGGTTTAAAAAAAAGAAGTGAAGGTGGAATAATGACAAAAAAACCAAGAACCTGATGTCAGCAGAACTACAACAGAGGAAATAGTAAAGAATTTTCTTAAATCAGAAAGAAAATATTTTGAAATGCTGATACCAAAGTACAGGAAATAATGAATAACAATGGGAAGGGTATATAGGAGGGTAAAACTAATAAACAAGTACTGTTATTTAACCCTTCAATTTCTAGTCTTCATTGACAAATTGCCGCAACAATAATTTTATAGGTAAGCCCTCCCACCCCAAGTCCAGGATCTAGTTGAAGATTACATATTACATATAGTTGTCTTGTCTTTTTAATCTTTTAAAATCCAAAACAATTTATCTGTTAGTTGGAAGTATGACATTCGGTGATTCTTCCCTCATTGAGGATTTGTCTGATTAGTTATAATTAGATTTGGGTTATTTTTGGTAAGATTACTGCATAAATGGTATTATGTTCTTGTTAGTTCATCATTTCATAAGGCACATAATTTTCCTCTTTATTGGTGATGTTAACTTCAACTTCTTGATTATGGTTATCCTATCTAATAAAAGAGAAACATGCTAATTGGCGTACGACCACTACCCTTCCCATTGGCTAATCAGGGCAATATGCAAATTAACTGCCAGCCAAGATGGCGGGCAGCCAGGCAGCTTGAAACTAACATGAGGCTTGCTTGCTTCAGTGACAGAGGAAACCAACGTTCCCCGCCTGCCGCTTTCGGCCTCTGAGCTTGCAGTTTGAAACATTGTTACAAATATAGAAGCTAAACAGAACCCCAGAAACCTGCTTTTAGCCAGCCGGGATCTCAGAGCTGGAGTTGAAACAGTGTTTAGATTATAGAACCCAAAAACCAGATACCTGCTTTCAGCAGACCAGGCCTCAGAGCTGGAGCCTAGCCTCAG